CATAAAGATCGAACCAAGCTCGAAGCTGCGCCCCAGGAAGTTCTAGGGCGGGGTCCTTGCCCTCCAGCTTGAGAAATGTCGCGGTGCATCTGCCTGGCCTTGGGGCAGCCAGCGCAGCAATATATCTCTGGCGAGCACGGCGCATGGCAGCAGGAGCCTCTCCTTGGGCCTTGACGCCGTACATCAATGCGGGCATGGATCCCTGGTTCAGCATTGTCATTCTCGTTTCACGTCGGAGTCGCCGCAGCTTTTTCCCCAACGATGTCATGCGATTGTATGCCTTTACTCTTCGGTCCGTGTGTGACGCTCTTCGCCGTGCACCTTTAGCCGCCCTGTGAATGCCCAGGTCACGGGCCTCCTGAGCAGCTCTGATGTCTATGCCTTTCCTCTTGAGCCTTGCCGTGATCCTCTTGGTCATGGCCCAATTGGACGAGATGATCACGCTCTTGTCTGCCAGCTCCAATCCTCATCGCTGAGGGCTCTCTCCAACTTGTCTGTGGCATCCACGATGATGTTCTCCACCGCTGTGGCACTGCCGTAGACCGCGGTGCTCACGTCGTCGAACCACGCCCTCGGGTGGGCGCGCGGGTCCTGGAGGGCAACCTTGCCCAGCACCCTGTAGACCACCGCTCTCGCAAGATTGTTCGCGTGCCCGGAACCCGCTAGCAGCGAGATCAAGGCTTGACATGGATTGCCGTACGCCCCTTCTTGTCGTAGGAGCCTCGGCACTGCGTGCACTTGGAGTTCTAGTGCCGGAACCCTCTGTGGGAAACCCAGGTCCTCGCATGCCGTCGCCACCGTCGGTATTGCCAGCGTGTCGTAGAACCTGCTGATGTCCGCCAGTGAGACCGCCGACGCCATGGCCAGGGCATCCGCCGCCTCGTCCTGCAGCGCCCTCGCGAGCGCCTCGCGGAGGCAGGACGAGCCCTTGAGCGCCGAGTCCCAGTGGCGCGCGGCCTCGGCGACCCACTGATCGACCTGCGGCCGCGCCAGCATCTGCCAGCACCTGATGAGCCAGGCGATCAGCGCCAAGGCCCTGTCACCCGACTTCTTGGGCTCCAGCATGACTATGGCCTGGAGCAGCTGGAATGGCCAGGCCTGTCGTTGCTCAACCAGATTAATCAAATCGACAAACTGCTGGCGCGCCGCCACAGGAAGACGCCGCACATCAGATGCAACTAAACGGTCGACGCCACGGCCCCTGTCGGGCTGTAGGCGGAGGGCCTGGTCACGCTGGTCTAGCGACCAGACGGGGCAGGGCTCGTGCTGAGCTTGCTCCCTGGCTCGAGCCAATGTGGCTACGGAGTCGTGAGGCGAGACCGATTTCGAGGTCCAAATATTCTGAAAAACGCTAGTTTTTTATATCAATAACTTCCAGGGGCGATGTACCTTTACGGTCGCCACAAATGAGCTCATCTTCAAACCTAGGGCGGGGCTTCGTGAACTTGTGCAACTTGCCAGGCTTGGCCAGGGTAGGGTCCGAGAGCCAACCGGCCCACGCGCGCGACTCCTTTTCAAAATCTTGCCTGTGGGCTCGGGCAGTCTCATCGGATGCTTGGAGTGCCATGCCGAGCAGGGTAGGATGCTCGACCTTGGAAATGTCCGAGAGCCTCTCGATCCACACAGCGCGGTGGGGGCGCGCCGTCGGGGACGGGCTCTTGCCCGCCGACGGGACCCCCTCCTGTGCCAGTCTCTGGGCAATGTTGCGAAGCCGTCTCAGCTGCTGGGCACCCTTCTTTTTGGCTGCGAGGGTGCAATACAGTTCAAGAGCGTTGGAAACCCTAGCCCACCAGCTGGCCTGGTAGCTCTGAAAACGGGGTCTTCTGGGGCCTCGCTCTCGGACCTTAACTTTTAGCTTGAAATTGTCAGCTCTCCCTTTAAACCTCGAGGCGTCCTGATCTGAAATGGCGTAAGCCTTGATATAAAAGTTCTCCACCTGTTGCATTAGCTGGGCATATCTCTCACCTAGCTCGATGGAGTCAGACGGGCTTACGCGAAAAGCTGGGCAACTCTCGATGTGTTCGGGCACGCTCTGCACTCGAGGGGGGGCGGCAGTGCCTACTTCAGCCCAGAGCTCATCGAGGGTCTCCGTGCAAACCCCCAAACCAGCAACGCCATTCTCGGCAGCCCTGGAATCAGACTGCGAGGCTTCAGCTGCTGGGAGCAGGTTCCCCCAGGGCGGGACGGGCGACGGTGGCTCCTCGGGCTTCTTCGGGCCTTCGGGCTCACTAAATGGGCACTCAACTGGTTCAGGACTGTCCTGGGAATCTTCCAGAGCCCTATCCAAATCTTCAAAGGGATCTACTTCCTCCGAGTCTAAACCCACGGGCGCCTTAGGAAAATGTGACCATCCAGTTGGGCCTAGAGCCCCCCAACGTCGGTGTGCCAGTTCTTGCTCCCTGTCATCATTTTTTTTGGAGGCAAGGGAGGAGGCAGCAGACGCAGCAGCAGCGGAGGCCGCAGGCGAGGGGTCAATGCCTTTTTCCCGCAGACGCCGCTGCCTCTTGCTGCTCGGGCCCACCTCTTCCCTGCGAGGCGGGTGCGTGAAAGGCGCAGGCATACAGAGTGACCTCGTTAAGGCAGGCGCAACTGCAGCTCGGAGCGTGAGAACCTGACCGACGTGAGGCTTCCAGGGAAACGCAACTGATTCTAAACCTTGAAAGTATGAGGCCGCCTCGGGGCTCATGAGAACATAATCGATCAGGGAGGGATCGGATCCTTTTTTGAAGCACGTATAACCTTGCTCAAGACAGCCTATAGTGCCTCCAAGTCTGGTGGGCCATCCTGACTTCCAAAAGGCCTCGGGTGAAGCGTTGAAATCTCCAGCCACGATCCAGGGATTTTTACACGTGTGTGAAAAGGCTGCCATCGCAGACAATTTGGCAGCATTGTTCCCAGTGAAACAATTCGTACCCTCAAGGTAAGAGGCTGATGAGGGTGATACTGACACCCTTGAGATGCCACGTGACGGGCATCCAGTCGTGAAAACTGCAGGTGGGGCCCTTCTGTCCCCGACTCGTGCTCACTGTGCTAGCCGACGCGCAGCGTTGCTGCGCCAACTCCCTAAACATCGTGCACTGGTGTCTAGAACGGATGGCCGTGCAGACACCACCCCGCGAGCCCTTTTGTGAGGTCTCGCTCTGTCGAGCAGCAGAAAAGGCGGCTTTGAGGCTCCAACCTCTCGCCTCCTGTTCCAGCTCGGCCAGTCTACGATGTTTGACGTGAGTCTCTTGCAGCATGAACGCATCGTACGAGTCCACGGACTCCTTGATGAATCTGCTGGCTTTGACTCCCCACTCGTTGATGTTCCCGATGAACACTTGCCTAGTCTGCCGCTCGGGAACTCTGCGGCCTTGACCTGGTCCCCGTCAGGCGGAGGGCGGCGCTGCAGCAGGCGCTGCAGCCGCGGGCCGTGGCTGCTGCGAGCGTGCCGCCGCGAGCAGCCTCTGCTTGGCCAGCTCCCTGGCTCGTTCCTTCTCCGCCCCCCTCGCCAGCTCTGCGCTGGGGGCGGCGGCTGCAGCGGCCGCCGCGCCTGAGCCTGCCGCCGAGCCGTCGGCCGCCTGGGCATCGCCCTGGGCCTCGGCTGGGGCGGCTGGCTGTGGCGCGGCTGCAGGAGGCGGCGCCTGCTCATGCTTCTCGTCGCTCACGGCCGTGCCGTCGACGCCCTGTCTGCGCTTCTTGGCCGCCTGCGTTGCCGCTGCTCGGTCTGCAGCGGCTGTCTGCTTGGCGGCCTCCAGGTGGGTCTTCAGCTGGGTGACGAACTGGCCCGTCCTCTGCTTGAACTCGGTGAGCATTTTCTCCTTCGCCTTGTTCACTTCGGCGATGGCCTCTGCGTCAACTTCGTCTGCATTGATCTCCAGGGCACCGTCTAGATCCTGCAGCGTCTCCTTCTCGAGCGCGTCGGGGTCCATCGTGAGGATGTCGTGGAGGAGGGTGGGCTTCTTCTCTTGGCCTTCCATGCGTATCTGGTCTACGATCTTCTCCGCGCTCACCACTGCTGCAACCTTCTCCTGCAGGTCGGACACGAGCTTCTGGAGACGTTGCTTGGCCTCGTCTCTGGCCGTGAAGGCCTTGTCGTAGGCCTTGTTCTTCTGCTCCAAGTCCCAGGCTGCGTCGGCCAGCCGCGTAGCCATGCTCTTCTGTGGCTGGGCTGGTTTGACGCCTGGGCGACTGCGCCGACCACCGTGGCAAGCTGCTGGGTGATCTCGGGTTGCAGCGCCATGCCCTCGAGCTGCGAGGACACGTCCTCAAGGGCCTTCAGCAGCCCTTGGCCTGGGTTGGAGTCATTGCCCTTCTTGTCCTTCCCCCTGCGCGCGAAGTGGGCTCCGCACCGGCACTTCCACTGCAGGGTGGGGAGGACATCGTCATATTCCCAGCGCTCACACCTCTTGCATACCGTCCACTGGCGACTGCGTCCATGGGATTGGTGCTGGTAGCCGTAGTTGGAGCCGTGCTGCTGCCAGTTCTTCCCCATGGCGAACGCGTGATGGCCGTGGTGGTGCTCGAGGTCGGCCTGCGCCGCGGCGACGATCCTCCTCGCCTGGTGTCTGCGAAGGCGGAGGCGTCTATGCCAGGCGGGCTCTGGGGTCTGTGTGCGCTTCTTCGCCGTCGACGCTGACTCCCTCTGGGTCAGCGCCCTAGGGTCGGCCAATTCTCTCGAGCGATGCCAAAATGGGGGACTCGAGAATGGCACGACGCCTAGAAGGAGGAGGAGGAGCAGGAGGAGGAGGAGGAGGAGGAGAAGGAGGAGGAGGAGGGGGAGGAGGAGGAGGAGGAGGAGGAGGAGAGAGAGGAGGAGGAGGAGGAGGAGGAGAGGAGAGAGAGGAGGAGGAGGAGGGAGGAGGAGGAGAGGGAGGAGGAGGAGGAGGAGGAGGAAGAGGAAGAGGAGAGGAGGAGGAGGAGGAGGAGGAGAAGCAGGAGAGGAGGAAGACGACGACGAGCTCCACTGGTTGGGAGGGGGAGCGCCCGAAACTCTCCCTGAGAGGGGGCGCGCCACTCGCCTGCCACCATGGGCAGCTGCCCCGCTGGCAGCTCGTTCACCATCCGCTTCTTGAGCAGCGCCTCGGGGCGCCTCCTCCTCATCACCATGTTGGACAAGCCCCAGATGAGCGCCTCCTCCTTTTCCCGATTCTCCATCTCCTCTGCCTCCACCTCCTCCTCCAGCTCCTCGCCAGGACATCCCCCCACCGCTCCCTCGCCGCCCTCCTCTCTGCCCCCTGCACACGCTGGACAAGACGAGGGAATGTCGAGAAGGCGACTCGGGCGCCCGCGGGCGTCAGAGGGAGCGATGAGGGGGGACCAGCTCGGGGGGGCGGACATCGCGCTGGAGATGGCGATACATTGCCGATGGATCAGCGATGAGCCCCCGACAGCGAATCCGCATGGGAGATAGGCCCCCGACAGCTATGGACCCCTATCAGGGAAACGACAGATGGCATAAACAGAATAACTCGGAGGTCCGCGCGGATTTCTCGGATCCGCGCTGGACTCCCCTGGCGGCGCCTCCGGCGCCGCCCCTGGAGCGCTCCGCGCGCCAGGGAGGGGGGGTCCAGCGCCGATCTTGGAAATCCGCGCGGATCTCTGGGTCTTTATGTTTATGCCATTCTTCGTCCCCCTACATCGCGATGGATGAGTGGGCGATTTGGGGTCGAGGCACCCCCCTGTGCCTACCCCCTCCCATGTCGTGACTCATGGCTTTCGGGCCACACTGGACTCGGCTCTCAAGCGGCCGTTCGGGACGGTCCAGGCACTCCCGGAACGCTCTCGTCGAGGCGCAGCTGCTGGAGGGCACCCCAATGCTGGAAACCTGCCGAGAACCGAAGCACCATCCGAAAACCTTGAATATCGAGCCTATCCCTCCTAAGGTTGCCCCTGAACATGGGTCAACTCGACCCCGGGACTTCTCCTGGGATGCGTCCTAACTATTCCGAGGCAGATCCAGCCGTAGCCACGCGAGCGCCTCAGAATGACCAGAAACATCTTCTAAAAAGGGAACAGGAATACCTCGAACCCGGGACCTCAAGTCCCTAACGTCGGCGGCGAGCCCGGGGGGGAGTGAGAAGGGGCGGGCCTTCTCAGAAGCCTCGGAAGTCCCCACCCTTCTGAGCTTCCCCGAAGACGCGGGAGACTTCCCAGAAGGCGCGAGTCCTCCCGAGAAGCCCCACCGCCCGCTGAGAAGGATGCCTCCTTCTCGCTTCCCCCCGGGGGCGCGCCAGCGATGACGTCTGAGCCCGGTGCCTCTTCGCGGGTCTGCTTCCGCAACTGCACGGCCTGGTCCTCTCGGGGAGACGTAAGACCCGGGTACGGGGGACTCGGAAATCCCCGACGAGGTCGTCAAAAAAATGACGAGGCCGAGCCTGCATTTTGACGAGGCCTCCCGCTGCAGACATCCCACGAAACTCCTCCTCGTCAAAATCCGAGTCGCGGTCGTCAAAAAACGATGGCGAACCCGAGTCCCGGCAAACCCGGGTCTTACGCTCCCCCGGTCCTCGCGCTTCCGGCGCGCATCGTCGGCGTCGATGCCCTCGCGCGGCGAGGGGCGCCCGCCCGGGGCGGGCCGCCGGGGCCGGCAGCCTCCTCCTCCTGCTCCTCCTCCTCCTCCTCCTCCTCCTCCTCCTCCTCCTCCTCCCTCCGCCCTCCGCCCTCCGCCCTCCTCCCTCCTCCACGTTGGGAGCCACGTCGTGACGAAGTCACGACGCCAGGGAGTCTTCGAGATGTTATCGCTAGTCCGTTCGGCGGTGCATCGCAGATTCGAAGCCCTTGTCTTCCCTCCGGCGATCCAGCTTCCTGGTCGTCGGGGCCGGCTGGCACCCCCGCCTGCCGTTGTGCCAGAGCCACAGTGTCGGATGATGAGGAGCCAGGAGGCACATCGCTGAAGGCTCCCTGCCTAATTCCATGAGGGTTTGCGCGCTCTATATCCTCCCTCCCCGACCCCCGACGCCAGGATTTTCTCGTGACGTGGACCCCCAGAGACTGGACCCCTGCCCGGGAACAGGCTCTGAAGGTCCCGAGGCTCAGTAAGGGTCGATGATATTCGGGATGCGTGTTGGCTCAATGTGTGTGTGTGTGTGTACGCATGCGTGTGTGTGCGCGTGTGTGTGTGTGCGCGTGTGTGAACCCCGTTCAGCCCCGCCGATAGCACGTGTCGGCTCCCATGACACCGCCTGAACCGTCGCACTGAAGGGTTAGGGCGGTGGGCAAGCACACGCTAGCGCTAGCATACACTGTCTGAGGATCTCCTCGAAAGAGCCCTCAGAGCCACGACGCGAGGGGGGGCCTCGACCTGAGCCAGCCCCCTCGCTTCTGGCCCCGGGGGCTGCCGCCCCCCCCCCCCCCAGGTGCGCTCCGGCCTGCGATGCGTCTGCCACTTCCGGCCGGTCAGAGATTGCCCAGGCCGACCGACGGGGCCGTGACGCGGCGGCCGGCGCCCGTTGCCTCCTCCCTCCTCCTGCTCCCTCCTCCCTCCCTCTCCTACTCCTCCTCCTCGTCCTCCTCGTCCTCCTCCTCCTCCTTCTCCTCCTCCTCCCCGGGAGCGGGCCTCGCTCGGGAGCGGGCCGCGCTGCGGTGGATGTTGCTGTGCGCAGGGCCACACTCTGGGCATTGCCTGAGGACGACCTGTATGGCGCGGTCTTTCGTGGGTCGCAGGCAGCTGGCCACCCCTCCTGGGCCAGGGCATCGCTCTGCCTGCTGCAGGACTGGGGAGTGGAGGACTGGCCAATCTGGAAGGCACGGTGCGCGGGTCCCCTGGCAGCATACAAGGCATACGCAAAGACGGTCATCACAGGACGCTGTCTTGCTGCCCGTGCGCAAGCCCTGGACGGCCATCCCTACGTCCAGTTGCGGCCGTGTGTGAGCCAGGATCTTGCCAAGGGCTACGCCCTTGGGCTCCCTACCTCGTGTCTGCGTGCTCAGCGGTCTGTTTCGCGCCTCCGCGCGGGCCTCCTGACCCTCACGCACCGCAACCGCAGGCGCTCATGGGCTAGGCTGCAGTACTGCTCCCATGCTCTCAATGTGTGCGGCGCATGGACAGAGGGGCGCGCAGCCTTCGGCCAGGCCCCGGGGGTGGGCGCGGGCGCGGAGCCAGGGGCCTCCCTGGGGGCCGAACCGGGGTCGTCGGGCTACCAGCAGCTGGCAGAGTGGGCAGGTGCTCTGGACTCTAGTGCCACGGAGTTCTGGGGCGGAGCCCCTTGAAAAGTGCGACCCGGCACTCCCCGTTTCTCTCCCCGCCCTCCTTTTCTCCCCTGCCAGGGAGGCTGCGTGAAGATGCACCCCCGGAGCGTCCTATCGCCGCCCTCCTGCGCCTCTGGTTTCCTCCTCTCTCTTTTCCCCCTCGTCCCTGCTCCTGCTTCCCTTGCTCTCTTCCTCCTCGTCCCCGTCTTCGTCTTTGTCCTCCCTCCCCCCTGCTGCGCTGTGTTGGTTTCCTGGGGCGGTGACCCGTGGGGGGCGCTCTCGTTGCCACGACGGGGTGCGGCAGGGAAACTGTGTCTCTGCTCGGCTTGGCTCGGGGTTCTGCCCTCTTCTGTCCGTCCCCCCCCCCCCTTTCGCGCCCTCCCCTGTCGTCCTTGCGCCCCCCCCTCCCTCCGTATTGTCTGGAAGGGAGTGCGTTGAGGATCCCCAGATCTTCCTAGCCCCTCCCCATCTCCGGGGGTGCTGGGTTCTCCCACCTGATGGGAGCTGGGAGTGATGGAATTTCCAGGGCTCCCCGTCCGCTCCTCCGTCCAGACTCAGCCGCCTTCGCCCTCGCCCTGCCGTATCCGGCTGCTCAGTGCGCCCTGGCCTCAAGGGGATCAGGTAGGACTGAGGCCGCGGAGGTGGGTCGGGGGCGGGGGCAGCGGCTTGAGCCACCGCGGCTTGAGCCACCGCGGCTTGAGCCACCGCGGCATCCCAGTGCTTCCCCTCCCCCCCCTTCCGTCGGAAGAGGCCCGAGAGGAGCAGTGTGAAGGTGACCTCTGGGGCATCCCAGTGCTTCCCCTCCCCCCCCTCCCGTCGGAAGAGGCCCGAGAGGACCAGTGCTAAGGTGACCTCCGGGGCATCTCAGCGCGTCCCCCTCTCTCCGGAAGGTGTCCCCTCGCTTCTCGTCTGCCCCCTGCTCCCTTCTCCCTGCTCCTTCCTTCTGGGGCGAGGCCAGCGAGAGCGAGCCCAGGCCAGCCTGGGCCTGCCCAGGCCTGCCCGGGCCAGCCCAGGCCAACCCAGGCCAGCAGAGGCCATCCGATGCCAGCTCAGGCCAGCCCCGACCAGCCCAGGCCAGCCTGAGCCAGCCGCGACCAGTCCGGGCCAGCCGAGGCCAGCCCGGGCCAGTCGAGGCCAGCCCAGGCCAGCCCAGGCCAGCCATCCTTTTCTCCCTCATCCCTCCTCACTCCTCCCTCGTCCCCGTCCACTCCTCCGTCCAGACTCAGCCGCCTTCGCCCTCGCCCTGCCGTCTCCGGCTGCTTAGTGCGTCCTGGCCCCAAGGGGGTCAGGTAGGAAGGACTGAGGCCGCGGAGGTGGGTCGGGGGTGGGGGCTGGGAGCGGATCCGGATGGTCTCCACCACCCACGCTGGCAGACTGCGGTATGCCTTGCAAGGACTGGATGGCTGACCCCAGGGCGGATCCCTTTTACAGCTCCCTGTCCTCACTCACGTGCGCTCACTCGGGAAACCCTTGGTGCAAGGTGGGATGCCCTCCATCCCCTGCTTCCCCTGGGATCGCCAGGGAGGTGGGGGGGCCCTCCTTCCCCCAGAGCTGTTGTCCCCTGTGCGCGGATGTGGGAGCCGACTGAGGTCAGGCCGCGGCTGGTCCACCTCCCAGCTGCCCTCGGGGTGCTGTCCCTGCAGCCCTCAAAGAATGCCCACAGTGGCCACCAGCCAGCCTCCTCCCTCCTCCCTCCTCCCTCCTCCCTCCTCCTCCCTCCTCCTCCTCCTCCTCCTCCTCCTCCTCCTCTTCCTCCTCCTCCTCCTCCTCCTCCTCCTCCTCCTCCTCCTCCTTCTACTCCTCCAGTTAGTATGCCTCGGCCTTCCCAGGGCGTTCTCCATGGATATCTGCGCTCCACCTCGGGCTCTCTCCTGAGGTTCACCGCTGAGAGCAGCGGAGCAGCTGGAGCCTCTTGGCAAACCGTATTCACTTCCTGCTTCTCCCCCTTCCGGATGGATCTGGCGGTCCTCCCTCCCCTCCTCCGTTTCCTCCTCTACCTGTGCCTCTTCCTCACCCTTGGAAGTCTAGACCTTTGTGGAAGGCGGCTCGAGGACAGCGGTACCTCCTCATAAGTTCATGCCCGCCACAGCCGCTGCCAAAAGCAGCAGCGGACAGGCCACGTGTCTGCGATACGGTTCGCCAGATACGAGCAGTTGGCACTGGCGTCCCATGGCTTCGCAAGGGCGATCGGATCACTATACTTCCGCCCATCGTCTTTCCAAGAGCGGTGACTTGCACGAATATCATGCCCAACCAATTATTTCATCGCAGCACACAATGACTCATAATCCCCCGCCTGGGCAACGATCACTACAAAGAACGCTGAAGGTGAAACGCGAGATCGTTACATACATACACACATATATGTATATATATGTATATGTGTATATATATATATATATGTGTGTATATATATGGACCAGTCGCAGGAAACACAGCCGCACATTCGCCCTAACTGGAATGGGCGACCGCACAGAACTCTAACCCCGAGGGCCCCCGAGGCTTCTACACTTACCGAGGGTCGTCCGAAGAGAACCAATC